TATTGAAATAATAAAATTTATAAAAATCAATTATGTACAGTATATTGTATTTATGTATATGTATATATGTATATTGATTATTTGTGTAGAATAAAAAGACATAAAGTCTAGTACCTAATAAAAATATGCAATATTACGATTTACGTTTACGTGTAGAATAATAGACGTGTACGCGTATTACAAAATGAATAAGAGATAAAAATTTCTCTTACGAGTATAACAAATTTTAGAATAGAATAAAATGGGAATATGAATAAAATAAAATGAATGGGCGTATGATAAATAAATATTATAAAATTTTGTATTCATAATATCACGATTATATTATACAAAAAATTATTTTAAAAACAATATTAAAGGCGTATGAGTGAGTTGTTTTTATACACAATTATCTCTTTTTACTTATACAATGTATCTCTATATCAAATTATCAATATAAAATATTATAATTATTTTGAAGCAATAATATTCCGGGCCATCTGCTTATTTTATAAATATAGAAAAATATTTTATAATACATAATTATTATTGATTAATAAATGATTCATAGAAAATTTTGACATCTGTTTTTCTCTCAAAATATATAAATTCGATTTAGTATAAAGACTTTATTCTCTATATGCATATAAAACCTTACGATATTGCTATATATTTATTTCACTAAAATAGTGTCCGATACGATAACAATAAGTTCATAAATCTTTTATTGTTCATATAAGGTTGAAATTGCAGATTCAAATATTGTAAATTTTGTTTCTATAAATTCAATATCTGTTCGTTGACGTCAAACATTGATACAGAAGTCGTTGTCTGAACACAACTTATTCATATAATTATAAATTTATTATGATTGGATTGAATTTGGGTTTGAAAGCAGTGTGGACGTTATGTTGTTAGACTTAAATCTGGTTTTGATGCAATTACATAATGCTCTGATGCCTCTTAATGTCGATAATTCAGTATTATTAAATATTCCAGGTCATAAACAATAATTGCTGGATTGAAATTAAAACTTACAAAGAAAACATTAATTTAGCAATACTTTGTTTCTGCAATTTATCAATGCTAAAGTAAAATTATGGATTGACATGTCTTTGTTAATACTATATTATATAAATTGTACCACTTTACAAACTTTGAGATTTGAGACGTAGGTGTATTAAACAAAATTGCTTCTACAAAATAATCTTTGAAAATATGTATTGCTATTTAAAATTCATTTATCGTAAATTCAAGGGAAATTATTTTGTAATAAGTACATAATATAATAATATAAATGTATGACAAACTAAGAATATATCGTGCAAACTATGTACTTATGTAAGCATACACAATGCACAATATAAATTTTTGTTAATATGCGTGTGTAAATAATTAAATGTATTTGTGTATCCTCCAATTATCGATTGTTTTTTCTTGATTAATCTTTAAAATACAGAGAATAATAAAAGAAAATATATAATTAAATTACATATTACTTGAGTGTGTATGCATGTGTACACGTTTTGAAATTTTGTTTTTCAGAAAAATCCTCTTGAAATATTGCAAAATTTGTTGAAAATGACGTAAAATAATCTTTTTGTTGGGGAAAATTTTCTTTTATTGTGTTTCACAATTTAAATACCATATTTTACTTATATAATATTCTATTTATAATTTATATTAATAATGTATCACATTTTTTTTTTTGAATTGAAATTCAAGTTTTATTTTGGTTTTTACGTCATGCACTTTAATTGTTTTAATTTTTATTCAAAATTTTTTAAATTTAATACACGTTCCATTAAATCTTTTGTATAATTATTTATGGTTATCTGATATTGAAATTCCAGAATTCATTTAACAATTATCAATAATATGGTTAATATTTTTTTTAAATTTAATATTGAAAATTTTAATTTTGCTTTTTTGGAAAATGAGGTTAGTTGTTTTGTGATATTTCCGTCAAATAAATGTCTTATTGCCTATACTAAACTTTATTCACCACATGGAAGCAAATTTCATTAATTGGAAAAAAAATGTAATTTTTAATATCTTACATTCCTTTCTCTCAATAAATTCAATTCAGCTTTGACATAAAAAATTCCAGAAAAATTTTTGAATTGAATTCAAAACAACTTACCTATAACCTACTTGATTTTAAATTAATTAACATATAAATTAATTAACTCTCTTTAACATATACTACATATTCCAAAATTAGCTCCGTTTTGTTTAGAAAAGTTGCTATAGATATGTTGCTACACAAGCATATTATAAGTACAATGTATACAAACTTTAAATTAATAAAATTGTACAAAAAAAATTGTTTTAATTATCAAAGTTTAAATAAAACTCGATATTTTCTAAGATTACAAACGTACATATGTACATATATATTTATACCATTTGAAGAAATTCAAAAATTTTCCATTTTTATAAAAACTAAGGTACTAAATAATTTAAAAACAAAAAAAAATTTAATTTCAAATATGATTACAAACTTTAAAACTTCAACTCAAGCACACTGACAACTTTTTATAAAAATTTCTAAAAATGTGTCAGAAATGTGCTTTTTACTCCAAATTTTGTTTTTTTTTTGTCTATATAAAAAAATAAATAAACACCTGACACTTTGCGTCGTCATACTTAAAAGTTGACAAGATTACGCATTTGTCATAATAATTTTATATGGCTAATCTTATCCCTCTCTTCATTTCAATGTTTTTGTTTTTTTGTTCTCTTTCAGTTAGGTCAATAGTAAATATGTCAAAAATTTTAAATGACATTTTAATTTTATTTTGTAGGTACAAGAAAAAAAATAATAATAAAAAATTTTGTAAGCACTATTTTAATAAATTATATTTTAAGAAGGTTTTAATCAAAATTAATTAAATTTATAATTATTATTATTTTATAAATTAACTGTTATACTCATTAAAATATAATATATGAATTTAAAGAGTTTTCAAATAAGTGAATACAAGATAAATATTTGCGCATTAAGATAATCGTTTTATGCAAAATTATAACCTAAAAAATGTAAGCAAACAAGTTGGGATAATAAATTAATGAAAGTCTACTTATGTACATATGAGATGCGTGGAGGCTTCTAATGAATGTACATAAAGTAACCAGGTACATATGTAATTTAAGTGATGTAAATATATATTATGTATTCATAATACAAATTCTATAACATATTTTATAGACTGTGCAGAAAATCGAGACAAATCTTTGGATGCGTGTACATTTAATTACATAATATGGCTCCAATATTTTAACAAATATTTACCAGGTTTGTTTTTCTCTAATCCTATATACTTATTTAACTATTGTGGATTCGTAAATGAGAAAATAATGACCTTAAAAAGTCATAATCAATGGAATTATTTAAAAAAAAAGGTAAAATTTAATTTAATTACAATTATAATTAAGTATTTAGAGGCTAAAATATAAAATTTATGAATTTTTTATGCAATTAAACTAATTATATTTTTAGAGTTATGAGAATGTTACAATGAAATATTAAATGTTGTACATAAAGCAAATACGTATGTTGGTTTTTGAACAACAAAAAGCACCTATCTAACAACTATTCAAACAAAAAAATGGTATTATCCAATGTGATTGTAAACAGGGTAACTTTTATGCAGTATTTTTTTTTCAAAATCATTATTAAAGTTAACCCAATGAATCAGAATACGTATTCCCATTGAATCACAATACTATACAACAATAGCACCTAAAAATAATTGTATTTATTGATAGATTTAGAATTTCAGGTATATTTAAAAAAGAATTTCGTATTCATTCCCTTTAATGTACCTATCTACATAACCCTGGATCAATTTAAGAATTCTTTATCTCTCATGATAAATATGCTAGCAATTTGAATAATTATAAGAAATAAAATGTTAATTTTTAACAAACTTTTTATGTATTAACACGATGTTAAAATAATATACAAAACTGTTCCCTTAATTAATAATTCATATTTCTATTAGTACGTACATATTATATACCTTAATGTTTAACATAGAAATAAGTATGTATATATATACATATAAATAGATGTTATAAAAGATTAATATGTTATTCTTTTGAAATTCAAGAAATAATTTCATTCATCTCACTTTTATATTTAAGAAGTTTAAAGATATTTTTTCTTTATGAATTTATTTTTTTTATAATTATAACGTGAAAAGATTCTGGGTCTAATATACTTTTTCTATACAAGTATTTTATAAAAATTCTTTCAATAGGGAAATGGGAAAAGAATTTTAAAATTTACGTTTATATGGGTTTTATTTTACTGTTTCACATCGTTTACCACTTTATAAAGATGAAAATAGAGAAATTCTTTTTTCTCACAAAACGATTTCATTGGAATCTATAAAATAATATTATAAAAATGAGTAAAATCAAGAAAAGAAGAAAGAAGAATTATAAATAAATTTAAGGTAAGCCAAAAGCAAGAAATTTTTCTTCAGGAATTCCCTTTTTAACCATTTTTATACCATGTGGTGTGGTAGCAAAAACAATGTTTTAGATGTACAAATTAAGAGGAGAATGAGTTTTATTTTCAACCTTAAATTATATACGTACACTTTAAGTTATGGTTTGTCTTCCAATCTCAAAAGAAAAATTTAATTATTTTATGTACTTTAGATCGGCAATATTTTCTAACCTAACGTGCCTTGTTTGTGATTTCTCATATTCTATTTATGTTTTTGGTTTCTGTACAGCTTTTTCAAGTTTTTAGATTTCTATTTTCATCCCATTTTGCAACCTTTACTTGTATTTGACATGTACGTTATACTTATAGTAAATTATTCTCTTACACAGAAAAAATCTTCAAATTAAACTTGAGAATATTATTTCGAAATCTTACTATATTTAAAAATCTAAATTTAAAAAAAAATTTAATTTGAATCCATTTATAAAGCTTGAATTAAATACAAAGTTATATAATTATTCTTTTATAATTTTAGACACTATTTCTGACGAATGCATCACAATTTGAATTAAGAAAATTCATGCTTTTAAGAAACCGAAAATAAATTTGTACTACATTTATAAATAAATAGCTTCCAAATCACTTGCTGTGAATAAAGACAGCCATTTGTCATCTAAGAGTCGTTAATTATCAGAAAAGTACTTATATGGGCAATAATAGTAATGTGAAAAGATGTCAATCGATGTTTTTCAAATGAAAAAGCTATATGAACCATTTTGACTTATTTCAAAAGCTGATTCGTATCCATGTTTTGATGTTTTTCAGTAGTAAATTATACTTTTACTTGTAAATACTTATATATATAACAAACTTAAATATACTTATTACAGATTTGATGCAATTTGAAGAAAGAAAAAAAAAAGAAAAATCGTAACAATCCAAAAATGTTGCAGAGACAAACAAAATTCTACCTTTATTGATTGTCTTCTTATTCTTCTCTGTTGTTACCTTGTAAATTTAACCAAAATAAGTACCTATATACATATTTTCAAGTCTTTTTAATAAAAACAAGAAAACCAATTTAATATGAATTTCTATTGAAAGCCTGATTTTCATTGGAATAAGAAATTTAATATTAAAAGAATATACAAGTTATGTATAAGAAACTGAAAATATTTTTTTACACAATATTTATATTGAATTTTTACATTTCAGTTCTTTATTTCGGAAGATAGAGCAAAGAAGTATGTACGTGCATAAGTATATGTACATATGGGATAGAGCGATATAGAAAAAAATCAGTTGAAACAACAAGTATGTATATCAAATATGTAACACAGTTAAGAAGACACAGTTAAAATAACTATAAATAATTCGTATAGAAGTATAAACAGTTGTAAGGAAAAAGCTTTTCCAGCTCTTTTTTTTTTTAATATAAAAAATTCGAACAGCTATATTATATTGTTTGTATTTGTAGTTTCTCATACTTGCTTACATACAACATGTACAAGATACCAGATGTAAAAATAAATAGTTAAATGTATCCAGAGTTCTATATAACATTTAAGTTTGTGTGCAAAAATTCACAACATGAGATAAACAAAATATAATTTATGAACCTACATATATGATTCAATAGTATATTTACTTTATATACAAACTAGATACTTATATCTAGATACTAATATTCTGTTACAGTCAGAATTTTATTTATATGAGAAAACAAGTAAAAGTAAACAGGTAAAATAAAAATAAAAATTTTATATTAAGAACCTGTTTTATTTTGTAGATACGTATATACTAAAATTTAATATTTATTATTTTCACTATTTCAATGGAAAAAAACAAGAATAATATTATATATACACTTAAAAATAGCATCAAAATAATGTTGTTACATTTATTTGATTGAATTTTTATTTTAACAAAAAAAAAAAGTACTTGCTCATTCAAAATATAAAATAAGGTTATTTATTAATACTATAAATTATTTATTTGCATTAATTAATTAAATTTTAATTTATAAACAAAATTAATTTGTATTAAATGATTACGTTTTTTCAATTTTCAATAAATTTGTGCATAAAAATATATTTTTAGATTCAATTTGTTCTATATTTAGTCAAAAATGTAATCAGTTAAAGTAATCGCATTTTCAAATACATCTTAAAATCAATTACACTTAACAAATAATTGATTGTTTATGTAGGTACTAAAAAAAGATTTTGAAATAGATAGATTTTAATGAAATTTTTCTTATAAGTATTAATAAGATATTGTAATTGTAATCATCTAAAATTTATTCTTTCATATTTGTACAATTTCATAATTACTTATTTGTGATAATTTAAAGTTCCTGTAATACAAGAAATTAAATTAGGTATTTACTTAAGGAAATATTTATCGAGTACATTTAATTATATTTCCTCTTTTAAATAATTATTTTTTATAATTAAATAATTAGTTTTATGTACATAAGTTCTAATTACATTTACTTTTTAAATAAATAAAATGTAAAAATTAATTATATTGTAAATATTTTTAATGATTCTTTTGTTTAAAACTACAAATTAATTGAAGAAATTTGTAATTAATTGTTATTTGATTTTTATTTTCTTGAAAAAATATTATTACTTTGTACCTACATAAACAATTACAAAAGTATTAAATACATAATTCATTGAAATGTACAATAATTATTTTAAAATAACCTCAATTATACTTAAGTACAATAGTTTTTTTTATAATTACTATGTTTTGGAAAAATTTTATGGTGACAATATTTACAAGAACTTTTTATAATCATTTATTTGTTAATGATATTTTAATTATATTTTTATTTAGAAAATTAAATTAAGGAAATAAAAGACATTTTAATTGTACTCGTGTATAAGATTTTAATTTCCAAGTACTTGTAAATAACTATAATTAAAAAGATTTGTATGATATAAAAAAAATAAATGCCAAGATTTTGTGTATTTATATTTAATTTGTGTTTAAATACAAAATTTTGTATTTTATTCTTAAATAATTGATTTCTTAAATAATTGAATGAAAAACATATAAGTAAATAGATAAAAACGATTTATCTTGCAGAGTGTACTTGTAATAACCGGAAAGATAATCTTTTAGTTCATTCTTGAATCACTAAGGTTTCTAAAGAAATGAATATGTATTATTAAATTGGTTAAATATTTTTTAAAAGACAGAAGTAATTAATAAATTTTTATAAAAAATACAAAAAAATAAGCATTTTTGAGTAATAGTCCTTTAAACAGATACTTCTAGCTAAAGATATTAGAGAAAATTTGTAATATTTAGTAATTTTGTAGTATTTAGTATTTTTATGGTATATTTAGTAATTCTGTAGTATATAGTAATTCTGAAGTACATATATTTATGAAAAGTTATCAATATTTATTGAATTATAAAAATTTCTTAAATCATTTAAATTTTTTAATATTATGCAACCTCGCAATATTCACTCTTTTTTTGAATAATTCAATTGAGTACTTAATTTTTTAAGTTGCATAACAAAACTATTATGCCACTTATTAGCACTTATACTTAGTGTGAAAATCAACTATTACAAACACTTTAAACACTATTTAAAATTAAAAACGAAAACAAAATTATGCTTCCATAATAAATAAAAAAAAAAAAAATAAATTCAATTTTTTTTTATTAACGATATTCGGTTTTTCAATGACATCAACCTAAAATTTAATGTGCACTTTAGACATTGTTAAACATTTAAAGTGATTAAAAAGGTGAGTCTGTATATAGGCATACAGGGTGTCTATGACTTCATAGACTTCTTAATCAAGTTAGTAAATTAGACTCAGACGAGCAAAAAACCGGTTCTTTTTAACTTTCTTATTGAGTAATCAAAGTAAATCTTACTGAAAATCATAGGTTTTTTTATATTTAAACTTAGGAAAAGTGCATTTTTAAACGAAATAGCACTGATATTAATATATTTTTTTTTTACCAAATATTTAAATAAGAGTAAATTAAAAAATTTTAAAATACTTTAATTATTGTTAGAGAAAAGAGCTATTAACATTATATCATTATTCAAATAATTATTCCAAGATTTCCGAAATGTTAATGGGACACCTTTTATACAAGAATGAATTAATATTATATTATAGCGGTGTCTTTTTCATTAAAGAATGTAAAAATAACAATACAATTTCTTTATTTTTCTTTGTGTTAAAAGAAAACAAATAATAATAACTGATTTTCCAGAATTATTTACTTATGTAGAAAAGTAATTATTAAAAAGCAAAAACATAACATTACCATATTTAATAATACAATAAAGTGAATGTACTATAAAAAAAATTATTTTTTCTAATAAATATGTATGTGTAGGCACTTCTATAGTGTACAATACATAATATCGAAATTGTTGAATGAAATTTGACTCTAAAAGAAAAAAATAAAATTATTAGAATTCCTCTGTTTATAATGTATAATATTCATATTATATTTCCATTCATTTAATACAATATAAATAATTATATTTATTATAATAAATAATTATAAAATTACAATATACCAACCAGTCAGAATATATGGTATTAAAAACTAGTTATGCGGAAACATTCTTTACATAGTTACACATAAGTATTAATTTTACTATTAATTATAAGTTTTTTTTGTTTTATGGGTGGGTTAAAATATTAGACTATAATATTATGCTCATAGGTTAAATGTCAGTATAATATATGTATATACAATTGATTAAACACAAATATATTTCTGTCAGCCATATAGATTCACAATATTTTTGTTGTCAAGATGTAAAACTCATATCTAACATATGTATGTACACATATATTATGAATTTCGATAATATTGTAGTAATTCAAATTCATACTGATGTTACTTAAACTTATAATGGTAATGCTATGGCAATAATAACAAATAAAATTACTTACATACATATGTACGTATACGTATATGTATAATATTATTTTATCACGTTATTTGTGTTATGTAAATAGCTACAATTTCGTAAATGAAATTAAGTGTTCAGAATAAACTTGTAAATCATTTTGATTTACTGTGATAAAATTTGAAATCCAGAAGTGTTTTTTTTTTAATAGCACATTTTTGTGTTTATGGCAATATTGACGGTTTCACCTTTGTACCTATGCTTGTAAGTATACAAACAAGTAAGTTGTGTTGTAATTCATTCCATTCATTAAAATCGATTTATTTGTATTAAACTACTTTGTGTCACGAATAAAATTTAATTTAATATAGGCAACACTTACTATGTCATATTCAATTAATACTTTGCTTTAATATATTTAACTTAGTTATTGTTTTACTTATACATAAGTTTCCGAAATTTACTAACTGGGAAGTATAATTATATCTTATTGTATCTTCTAACAGGGAAGTATCTAAATTTTGAAATTCAAAAATTATTTTAAGGTTCCTTTGTTATTTAAAATTGAATAACCTAAAAATTTAATAATTCGAATTAATCGTCCTTTGTTTTACTCGGAAAATTGTGACCTACTTAAATATAATTAAAAATATTTTGTAATTACCAATGTCTCCAAAATATTTACAAAATCCATATATGACATTTTATACTCATTATTGATAAATTCATCCAATTATAAATGGGACACGAATTTTATTTAATTAATTTATTCTTAATACATAAACTTTATTTGAAAAAAAAAAAAATTACAAAATAGCTACATAATGTGAATTTTCTAAATGGTGCTTTGTAAAATTCAATAAATAATTGAAATTTTTAAAAGAACTTGATAACCAAATTATATTTTGTGATATGAGAACAGTCACGGCAAACTTTCATATTTCCTAATATCAACATTTATGTACTAAAAAAAAATTTACATAAAATAGATAAATAAAACGTGAATTTTACATAATACTCGTGGTATGAATGCAGAATTCTGACCGCGTGCCTAAAAACTTTATACCATTAAATTTTAAAACAATTAAGCACGATCTGGATTATACTAATTTATGAAAAAAAAAACAAAAAATCAAATAAATAAATTATAATTATAATTCAGATTAAAATTTGAACTTTTCATCATGTCTGCTGAACTCAAGAATCATAAAACAATAGAGCAACATTTTACAAAATCAACCTACGAAGAAAAAATTTCTGTTGATTGATCCCTTAATATTTTATTAAAAGAAAATATTTTTTAAAATTTTCTAATTTTTTTTTTTTAATTTTTAAAAGAGACAACCCCCCTCTCTCTCTCCTGGTCCCTACGTCTTCTGTTTCCTTTCAAAATTTTGAACAAAATTCATATTTAAGAATTTAATTGGCTTGATCACGTTTCCAACAAATATTTTAATAAACTTTCTCGAGAGGAAGAAAACACCAAAAAAAAAGTCGAAATACTCGTATTAACAAAAATTTTTGTTCTTTTTTCCGAAATTTTTCTCTGAGTGAATGTTTTTGTAAGCGGAACGGAACGAAATTTTATTCTTGTTCTTTTTCATTTTAGCCTAAATTAAATTTCATTTTTTATTTTTTTTTTATTTTTCTTCTTCAATTATTGAATTTTGAAATAATAGAAAGAAATATTTAATTAATTGGTATGTAA